ATAAAAGATAGCCTTTTATCCAATTACAAATCGCATCAAAAAGTTCATTCATTTGTTGTTATTGCAAACAATTTGTAAATCGACTGTAAAAATACGTCAAATTTAGGCGAAGAAGTGAGGAGAGAGAGAAAAATGGCAATAAATTACATTCAAACTTCTGGCATAATCACACAATAGCCAATAATGTGCAAGCCAACGAATACAAACTGATTAACGTTAACAATTAATTTTTTTTCTTTTTCGTTGTTGTTAATAAATTCATCAAAAAAAAATTATTATTTTTACATCATGATCGTTTATTTCTTGAATTGTTTTGACTGTAAGGTTAAGCTTCAATTCTTTGGGAAAAGATTTGTGTTGTTTTGTTCTGCTGTGTTGCGAGAGAGAAAAAAATGTGTGAATCAAAGATGATTCGCTTTTAGGTTAAGCGTTCACGTGTCAACTCATGATAAATTCGATGACGTATTAATGCCGTCTCTATTTGTGTTCCAATATTTATAATAGATACAATATTTTTCTATTGCGCATCTAGTGTTTCGTTTTGAAGACAGTGGCTCAGTCCAGTTTGGTCAGATTTAGATTCAGATACTGGTGTGGCAAGATGAAAAATTTCATTGAAGAAAAACCAGTTATGTACGTTATTTTTTTCTCTTCGGCATAAATGTTGATGATCACAAAAAAAGACACACACACACTCAAGCATTCATGTGTGTACATTGAATTTGGAAATCAGTTTCGGCAAAAAGCAGCAGGTTGGCTCATAAAAAACATATACTAAATAAATGAACAAGGCAAAAACAAACCGTCGACACACTATGTGAGAAAGGTTAAAATCGCCATTTTAATGGAAAATCTAACAGAGAGAAAAAAATCCACATAATAAATAAATTAGAAGTAAATCAGTAGTGAACATTGAAGTATTTCTCTCTCTCTCTCTCTCTCTCTCTCTCTCTTGCTTAATGCAGAAACAAAACAAAATTTAAGAAAACACACAACAAATTTTGTTTCGTTTTTATTTTGCATAAACATAAACACTCCGGCGTGTGCATTGATGGTGCGAGGTGAATGAAAACAACCAATCAAAATAATAAATTGTATGTTTATTTATTGTTATTATTAAATTGGTTGTATTACATGTATAGGAATTTATTCAAGCTCAGCAAAGCTCTCTATTTTGTCCAATCCAAATTCTATTGGATTCTTGTTTCTGTTGATGTTATTGTTTCATTTGACTTTGCTTTGAACATCAATAACAATTCATAGAGTCAATGGTGCCAAGTCATGATATAAACATTTATTCAACAGCCGAGCATCATCGTTAGCAACTTATTTGCATATATAAAAAGAATCTATATATGTTTAGAGAATAAAATGGAATTATTTTAATGAAAAACAGCAACAAGTTAAAAAAAATAGTTTATAATTTGGCAAAATAAATTGATGAAAATTCAAAAGTTATTTCTCCACATCTATTTCGACTCTTGGTGTATAATTATGGTCAATGTATACCATACAATCGATATAACTGCACATCTAATTTATCAGTAAATACATAACAATTTTAATAGATATAATTTTCCATAGGTTTCCTGCTGAGTCGTTTTTTTTCTTCTCCTTCTGCAATTTGTAGTCCGTTTGAAAAAATGTGCAAAGTGCGAGCAAACGAAAGAAACCCAAAGAGGATCGTATAGCATAATATAGTCGGCAATGAAAATGCCATCGATTATTTAATTCGATGTGGCATGCAATTTAAATGGATAAAAAAAAATTCCCTGTTAAATGCCAAACGCTGAACGAACACCTTCTGCTTCCTCAACACAACACAGCGATGCACTATGTGTGCGCTTAATATTTTTCTGTACATCTTTTTTTTTATTATTTTCATGGTAAAACCATACCATAACACAAACCAAACAGCTAAAGTTCAACAAACTTAGGGCCAGCATTTTATGAACATGTTCTTGAACGATAATAATAAAAGCGTTCGGCATCGTCATCGTGTTTGGCCAGTTTGTTGATGCTGTTGCCTTCTTTTTCTTCGTCGGTTGAAATTTTTCCATTCAGATGATACGGTTCTTCGTGGAATTTTTGTGTTGGTGTCTATGTGCATGTGTGCATATATGTATTGGAGGGCCGCCACTTGAGTTCTATCCAAACGAAAGAATAGTGAAAAACAAGTATTCAATTATCTATTGAGTTTGGTTTTTCGATTTTCATTCGACATAAGTGAACTTTGAAGGCGGAATTTTTATTCGAGAAAATTACATTAATTACCAATACACCTCAAAGAGAAAGGAGCTTTTTAGTCTACATAATTGGGTTTTCGCTCTTGTTAACTTTCAACTTTTGGATTTTTAGTTTCAAATATCTAATTAGCGCATTTGTTTCTCTCTCTTGTGATTTTTTTTTTGCTGTCTTTTATGGACATAATTTACATGCATTTTTGAAAAAAAAAGATCGTATTTTCAACTGAAATTCAGATTGTACGGAAACGAGAACGGCGATTAAATTGAGAAAAAGACCTTGTCCAGCACATGATCAGATCGGTTTTGGAACGAAAACAAATAACATTCCACAATTTTGGCCAGTTGGCATGAGTCGGTGAATTTGTGTTTCTAGCTTCAACAAGTGTAAATGTACAAAAGTTTCCATTTGAATGTTTTGAATGTTTCGGCTGTTGTTACTGTGCGCTGACGATCGATCTTTTGTGTGTATATGACCATTTACCCCCGAGTTTGCATGTAAATAGTGATTTATTGTACCTGTATGTTGAGTCGAATTGAAAACAGTCGCAAAGTTGATTTTTTTCTGTTGTTGGAGGTTCTTCAATGACAGACAGTTTACGTTAAACATTTGCGCTCTCTAATCATCGGACAAAGATCGACATGTTACATCTCCATCCATCCATACAGATCGTTTACCAAAGATAATATAGAAAAGAGTCACTTATTAGCACGTGTGGATTTCATTCATTTCTTTTTTGTTAAATGTTCAAACATGTGAAGAAAAAAAATGTCCATGTAATAAGTATGATCATATCCATATTGAGATTTATAATATCATAATCAAATGAAATATACCTACCTAGGCATATAAACACACGTACGCCCAGCGATATAGTGTCACAATGGGTTTTCTTGCGCAATGTCATATTTCGGTGATAGACGTGGCAGCAGCGCATATATACATGCAACTGTCATGATATGTTAGGTGGCATCTTGTCTTCTTCTCACATTGTTTCTTCTTTATCATTCTCAACATAGACATGTTTTCCATTTCTATCAATAGAAAAATGTGCGCGCGCACGCAACAAAATGCTTACATAATTTCGAACGTGTTAGTTACATTGAAGCAAGAGACTGTGGTCTAAGTATATGAGTATCCAGTACGAACTGAAAATTACATATAATTATTTATAGTTTCTGTATCCGAATTATTACAAATTACATTGTATAGCGCGTGGCGCTCTCACTGTTGCCGCTGCTGCATCACTTTACCAAAACAATCAACTCACGATTCATGCTCCGAAGCTAACAAACGTCATTCGCTTGAAAACAATTGAAAACGAAAAGAACTTTTTTTTTATTTCTCAGAAAGGTGCCTATTTGTGAGCGCACACGTTTTTCGATAAAAGTGATTGTTATTATTGGCCATGTGTATGGCTAATTGCAGTGTACATGGTGTGCGACTCTGACACTCATATAACATACAATGTTCCGGCGCACGCATCTCATATATGCGTTTATTGCGATTTATTCACTTTCATTGGGAGTGAAAACATTTTGTATGTGTTGTTTGTTTTTTCTTGGACGTTTTTTTTTCTTCATTAAATTCAAAATTAAGAAGTTAGCGAGTCACAGATAAATGCAAATTCAACAAAAAGAGAGAGAAAGAGAGAAAAATTGCGTTTATGATGTGAGAAAAGTGAGATTTTATAGAAAACAAATATAGCAATTGCTACGTGATGACTGATGAAATATGGGCAAAAAAAATGAAAGAGAAAAAGAAACAGAGCACTTTACAAACTACAATGGGTTTGTTAATTGTTTACAATTTAATTAAAACCACACGTGGTGGACCGGTAAATACCTTTTTTCGTTTTTATCTCACAAGACATATGTTTGTGTGCATTTTTTTTCGGTGGCACCGTGTGGCGACAACGATAACTTATTTTGATATAGTTCAATTCTCGCAAACACACTTATACAATTAGTCATTGTTTATGTTTGCCGCCGTTAGTTCACATCGTTATGAATGAACAAAAACGAGTGAATCAAAGTTTTTCCAAAATCTGATTTCAAATTCTCTTTTTCGCGCACATACAAAAAAAAGTGCACACTGACAATGAAACCACGAAAAAGATCACTGGTTTTCGCACGGTGTGTTGTTAAATCTTTCGCTTTTTTTTCTTCGCTCCATTAAGTAGATGTGTTTATTTATGTCTTGTTTAAATTCATCGTTGGTTTGATGAAGTCAAGAAATGAGCATACAGAGCTCATCGATTGTAGACCATATTCCCATTGGTTTGTCATCACCAATGCGATGTTGATCATAAATCAAAATAGAAAACGAGAAGACTAAATGGTTTGGACAGCAAACCGACTTAACAATAAATCAAACGGTGCATTAGCAATAGAAACACATATTTGTTTGTAGGTTAAGTACACGTAGTGCCAAACTCTCAATAATTCACACACACAATGCTTGAAGGTTTCTGTCTTTACAAAGTGAACAGGAAATTAATAAAAAACTCGTGTTGGTTTTGCAGACAACGCAAATGTTGTGGCCAAGCCGTAGAAGTTTTTCATTTATTTTCAGCCAATTAGCCGTAAATCGTTAAGTGTGCATGTGTCGTTGTTATTTGTTGTTGTTTTTTTTTTATCTCAATTCTTCAAGTGGATCACAGTAATGAAATGGCTCATTTTTCTGCCATTATTTCCGTTGATTTATTCATCTATTTATTAATTAATATTGTTTTTTTTTTTTTGTTCTTGTTGCAGGGTTCGTGATAGCATTTGCGCTATGCCTGTTGCTTTGTGGAATTCTAGTCACATTTGGATTTACCGCAATAGTTAAATTAGTAATTGATCATCAGGTAGCATTACGGCCGGGTGCTCAATCGTTTGGATGGTGGTCGAAACCGCCAGTCGAACCAATGATGAAGATCTACGTTTACAACGTTACAAATGCCGATGAATTCCTCAACAATGGCACCAAACCCATACTCGACGAACTCGGACCATATGTCTACGTGTAAGTATACATTTTTTTGAATATCTATATAAGTTTTTCGAATCAATCGCAAACGGAAAAACGAAACGATCTGCTACTGAAATGAAGAAGGAGAAGAAGAATGTAAATCACACTTTTTTCTTGGTGTCGTTGAATGTGTGAGAAACCGCCACCGTATTTGTTGAGATAAAAACTGAACCCACATGAAAGTTTATGCTGATGGACACAAAGGGAACATTTTCTCTATTCAGATCACGGCCTCTTCCTCTCTCTTCTTCAATTATGCCACTGATGATTATTATTTATTATTCATGCGCCGAAACTATTTTTTTTTGCTTTCAATTTAAAAGATATTTGGCTCGTTAAATAAATGATGACGGCAATGTGAAAAGTTTTTTTTATGTAATATAGACAAACACCGAAAAACCGTTACACACTAATTGTGATGAAAACGTGCGAAAAAAATCGCCACTTTTAAAAATGTTAATTGTTTGGCCATCATCATTATAAGTCATCTCTCATTTTTGGTCATCTTCACAAATTTACGCAGAAAATAAATATTTCACATCGTTTATTCTTCAAATTGTGCCCAATTTTTACTGTACGTCTACAGTGTAGCCGTTTCGTATGCCTCCTACATTAACGTATTCAGTCAACAATTAACGCATTTCTTTATGATGCCTCTTTACACTCTCGCTATTTATATCTAATCATCTTCGTTTCGACATTATTAAAATGATCACTATTTTTTGCCATGCATTTTTTATGTAAACAAAATTTTATGTATATTTACATAATTTCAACGCTCGATAGAAAAATTATGTTGAAATGAGAAACAATTTTTTTTGACGAAAGACATTTCATATTTGACACTATTTTGCGCTTAATGACCAAAAGATCATTTTTATATTTTGCTACTCCTCCTACTCCTCCAACTCCTCACATTTATGGGAAATGCTTATTTTTCTAGTTCTATAATTATCAATGCGACATTGAAAAGGAAAAAGAAAACATTTTTCAAATCATTCTTCCGGAAAATATCTACCGGAATTCGATTGAAATCTATATTAATCCTCATTGATGACAGTTATTTTATTTAAATTATGGCGTTTTATTCAATTCTGGTAATTACTTATTAGCATAGTGTGTTTACTTGCTACTTTGCATTGCGAAACAAAAAACTAATTCACTTCTAAAACAGACAGAAGTATTCCGTTATCGAAGCTTGATGTATTTAAATTTCTGAAACTGTTGAAATTTTATTCAAGATTTCTGGCAAAATCATTGAAACTTGTGCATAAATATTTTCGGTAAACATTTTTTTTCTCATCATATCAAAATTACCATTTAAGCACTACATTGAAAGAACGACTTGTTTTTCTACTCCAGACGGATTCGTAAAGATCAAAATAAGAAAAAAATTGAAATTTATTTAAAATCCAATCAACCGGAAACTTGGCAGGTTGAAAGAAAAAAACATTCAACATAATAATAATTTTCGATTTAATTTTACTGGTGATTAGCTCATTAATTCGGCGTGTTTGGCACATGGTCACGAAACGCTTGCTGATCCTATATAGTAAAAAAATACCGTCATCGCACGCTCATTTAATATTCCATTCACAATTTGTGTATGATTCGCGCAATCGATGTTTGTTACTACTGATGCACACAGCAAAGATGATTCTAATTAAGCATTGCACCGAACTTGAGATATTTTGCATAAATTTAACTTGAATCTGGTTGTTGTTTTTCTGAATGTACTTTGCATGTCTCAGGCAATGCTGTGTGATCACGCGTAAGCAAATAAATTGATGGGCGAATAATAAACGAAATGAAAAATAAAACCTGTTCCAAGCGCAGGCAGATACAGAAAAAAAACTATATAAAAACAAATCAAGTGTACCTTTGCCCGTTAAAATCGGAATGTCGGGATAATGCCAGCAATAATCAAATATTGAATTCGATAAATTGTCAACATTTGCAAGACATCTGGCCGTATATACGGAAGAATGCTGTTGCAAAAAACGATGCGAGCGCAATGTAAAGCGCAATGAGCTCGCTATTTGTTAGCATATCGGTACAAAGACCGACCATCATCATCACCAGCGAACATCGATGCGAAAGCATATCACATGAAAACCATCTACATTAGCCTGTCGTGTGATAATGACGGGCATATTTTTTTTTGTTGTGCATAGACACAAAAACAAACAGAGACAATCAAGAATATAAAGAGTCACACACACACAATATATATTTTCTGTTTTAAACGCAAATATTCTTGTGGCATGCTGTGTTGCGCGCGCGAATAATCATGCCTGTTTCCTCCTGGCTTATTGACATTTGGATTTATAAATCGCATTTGCAACAGAATGACAGCGAAAAAAGGTTCAACATTCTTTCAAAGGTGATAACAGAGAATTACGGCACAAACGATGGCAATAAAAGAGCAAACGATGACATTAACAAAGAGCATTGGCTATACACAATGAACACAAAGAAGAATCAGAAGAAGCGTTGAAGGAACTCATACCAATGCATACATCACATAATTCATTGCATGCAATTAACAATTTCAGATGTGCAGATATGAAAACGTCCAATATGTGAATCATTCCACATTGCCAATTATTTAATATTAAAAGTATAAATCCCGAAAATATGCAATTCATTTGCTTTTTTTATCGCACGCGCGCGCGCACACACACAAAATAAAAGAGAAACGGATGTAAGAATGGATGAATGTTCGAGCAAATGAAGCGTGATACAAAAGCTCCAGAAATCAATTTTGTTGAGCTGAAATGCATGCCGAGCTCGCTGTTTTCTCTTCGCGTCATACTGTTTTCACACCATTTCATTTCACATGAGTGCTGGCGTGTTTTTCGCATTGTATATTTTATGCAGAGAGAAAAATGTTGACGGGTCAATGCCATATTACCTGAAACAAAGATTACGGACAATGTTTATTGTTATTGCTTGCTTATAGTTGATCTTTTTTTTTCTTTTTACATTCATTTCTCTATACCTCATACACTATCTATATCTCATTTGCCCTCACTTGGTATTGCACTCGTGTATGTCGGCGGGCACGACTCGGTTCCGTCATCTTGTGATATGGATAGAGTAATTTGCAGTTTGTTGTGCGCTTATGGCAGTCTAATTGCAAAAATGACGAATCTCAATTCATGGAATGGCGAAAAGGTTTCAGTTTGAAGTTGAAACAAGCAAATTACAGGAAAACAAAATACAAGAGACATAGGATCGGAAATGTTTCGATCTAGTCAATGATTGGACATTCACACTTCTGCAAATCCACAAATGGTGTCAAGTGTCACGAAATGATCACATCTCAAATAAATGTTGCTGTTTTACCTTTTTGGCATGAAAATCAATGTAAAACACACTGAAGATTACTTACAATGCTAATTTCTTCCGCTTATTGCCAGAAACGATTCAAAGTCACCAAAAATGGAGCCGAATGAATTAAAAATAACGATGTTTTGACAACTGAAAGAGAAATGCTTTTATAATATTCGATTTCCAGTTGGTGTTTCAATAAATTCCAAAAAGATTTCATATTGTGATGATGATTTTTTTTTTTTTTTTTCCAAAAATAAAACAATGAATTGAAGACTGTGAGAAAAAAGTGGACATTTTCAAAATAAATGCTGAAATAAAATACGACTGAGCAGAATATATCATATTGGACTATTTTTCACGAATGAGCTTCATACCATTCGTTCCGTTTTGGCTTATGCCATATGTACCACATGAAATCACACGCGTTTGTTCCGGTTCTTTAACTCATATACATGCTTCACGATCATTCTAAAAACGCGATTCTGATCATAGATATGGGCGCTTAATATATTTACATTATACATACGATATATCAGTATACAGTAAAATGTACTTCTGCACATTGTATATTTACACTGACTCATATTATTTCTCTATTCTGTAGATTACAAGCCTTTAGCGCTGAATATTTTCATTCTTCATTCTTTCGTTTCATTCGTTGCATTTGTTTATTTCAAATGCTATGTAGTTTGCTGAACCAACGTATGCAAAATCAGCATAAATAGAACATCGGACGAAGAAATATTTGAAATACAATCCAAGTCGATATGAGCACAGATATCATTGGAATAATACTATATCCCACAGTTCGACTTTATTGTGTACGTACAAGAATATTTTGTATTCGCGTACAAACAATATGCGATACTGGGCAAAATTTTTGTGATCAAGTTCGAATCTTATTGGATCGATCCGGATGGCAAATTTTGGATTACATAGTACTCTTACAAAGTTATTTGAATAACATCAACAATCTTGCAATAGTTGTTGATAATGTTATGTTTTTTATATTAACTTGGTTTTAATTTTCCCTAGAGATGAAGAGATTCTATATATGTCTAACTCTAATAATATATTGAGCTGACTATTCATTATTTCATAATATATCTTCTATTAATCTTTTTTTTTTTTGTATCAAAGAAGAGTATAAAGTTTTTACTTTGACCTGTTAAGAGTTCACGTGTCAACTTTTTTTGATAAACTTTAGTGTACAACGAAGAAAAAACAAGCGATCATTCATCCACATGACCTTAAGAATGAAAATTGCCACTCTTGCACAAGAAAAAGAGCCCGACTACTGTGTGTTTAAATTGATTTGGTTTGAAAATAATCGTGAATCGTGATTTTCATCAATTTGCGAGACCAAATTACAAAACAAACACCTGTGTTTTTTTTTGCCAATCTTCTTCTTCTTGTAACTATGATCTCTGAAGTGATGCGGTATTGTGCAAATAAAACGGTCAACGGTGAATCGACAATTAGCGGCTATGTTAAACCGAAACGGTCACGACTAACCGAAAAACGTAAGCTCTCATACGAGCGCATACGAGCAAATTGAATGGAATTCATTTGGTAGCAGCAAATGGCAACACACAATTCATTGAATGAACCACCGAAGCAACGGTGCAATGTTCGAATGCTGATGCAGTCGCAAGACG